TCATCATTATCATCATCATAATCATAATCATCATCATCATGATCATCATCATCATCACCATCATCATCATCATCATCATCATCACCACAACCATCAACAACATCGTCGTCCTCGCCGTCTTCATCCTCCTCATCGTCCTCCTCGTCGACATCACCATCACCATAACCATCACCATCACAAATCTAAGATGAGGAACGACCAGCGTGGACACTAGACAGTTACTTCTAATACTTTTGTCGTGTAAGAGATATAGTACAAGCCACGCTGGAGATGGAAGCTGTGGTGCAAGCTACGCGATGCCAGTAAGCCATGTGGTGCAAGCTACGGTCGGCCCGTTATCAGAAGGATGAGCGATAAGGAACTAAGGGCCTTAGACGCCCATGTCGAAGCTTCTCGCGCGGGGCGCGTTCGACGAAAGGGGCCAAGGATGGACCGAGGAGGCATAGATGCAAGGGTATCCTGGAAAAGGCTGCCCATCCAACACTGTGCTGGTGGACTGTGCACGGTGCAGGCCGTGTGGGGAAAGCTGCGTGGCGCCAGCTCTGAGATGCGGCCCACGTGGAGACAACCGCTGCGCAGTGCGCGCCCCGCGCGGAGCACGCCACGTGGTGCCAGGCCTCTCGAGCAGGCCATGCGGCGTGAGCTGCGTGGCAGGAGGGAGGAGGGAGGAGGGAGGAGGGGGGAGGGGGGAGGGGCAAGCTAGGTGCGCTCGCGTCATATCTGACATCCTACCCCTCCCTCCCATCCCTTACCATGGCGTAGATCCCCTCTCTACTCGCACAGTCGGATGTCGAGCAGGGCAAGGATCCCGAAAGGGTACGCGATGCATTGTAGAGCACGGCATGGCATGGCGTAAAAGAGCACCGCAAAGCGTAGCATCAACCTAGCATTGCAGTGCATGCAGTGGCATGGCACGGGAAAGGACGCCAGCGCTGCAGCGGGAGCACGAGTCGAAACGAGCGGAAGCGCGGAAATGAGGCCAGCGCTGCAGCGGGAGCACGATTCGGAACGAGCAGGGCCCGAAAATGAGGCGGGCGCCTCAGCGAGAGCAGCATTTCGTAAAAAAAATGCAAGCGAAAACCGCACTCCAGGGAAACCTGTTTGTAAAACCGAGCACTTTCAAACCGACATCAGGGGAAGAGGGAGAGTAGTATTCATATTGAGTAATCGTGGAGGGGGGAGGGGGGAGGGGGGAGGGGGGAGGGGCAAAGCTAGGTGCGCTCGCGTCAACATCTGACATCCTACCCCTCCCTCCCATCCCTTCCCATTGAGCTACTTCATTGTCCTCTCACCGAATCGGGCTTCGCATCTGACCCTGTTACCTAAGAGGGAAAGGAGGAGGACGACGGCGCGATGAAAACGAAGACGACGACGACGAAGACGACGACGACGACGACACACCACGACGACGACGACGACGGCGGCGACGACGACGACGACGACGATGAGGACGACCGGCGACGAAGACGACGACGACGACGACGACGCGACCGCGCCGGAGCGGCACCCGCGCCAGCTGCCCGCTGCCGTTACGCGCAAACTCCCGGGAATCCTGTGCGGAAAAGGACGCCGCCCAAAAGGGGGGGGGGGGCTTTCTGCGGCCCCAAAAATCAACGAATCGACACCGGATGTGTAATCACCTCCAATGTTTTTGCCGGGGATCATTTTCTAGATTTGGGGCTTCTTAAAAAGGATCGAAAACGTCGGCGCTGCAGCGGGAGCACGTTTTGGAACAACGAGAGGCGCAGAAATTGGGCCAGCGCTGCAGCGGGAGCACGATTCGGAACGAGCGGGAGCGCGGAAATGAGGCCAGCGCTGCAGCGGGAACACGATTCGGAAGGAGCGGGAGCCCGAAAATTAGGCCAGCGCCTCAGCGAGAGCAGCATTTTAGAAAAAAACACAAGCGAAAACCCAACTCCGGGGAATCCTGTGTGTAAAAAAACAGTACGCGGGGGGGTGCCGAACATCTTCCGGACGCCATCAGGGGAAGTGGGAGAGTAGTATTCATATTGTGTAATTGTGGAGGGGGAGAGGAGGAGGAGGGGGGAGGGGGAGGGGGGAGGGGCGAGGAGGGGGAGGGGGGGGAGGGGGCAGGGGAGGGAAGGGGCAGGGGGGAGGGTCGGCCGGGCACCCGCCGAAACCCCCTGGCCCCCCAGGCCACGCATGCCAGCCGGCGCACGGGGCGCCCCCGGCAGGCGCCGACAGCCGGGCAGCGGCCGAGGAGCCCGGAGCCGTGCCCAACGAGGGCAGCAGGTCGTGCGTGACGCGCAAGTGCACGCACTGTCTGGGGAATCACCGAGGTTCTCCTCATCATCATCATCATCATCATCATCATCATCATCATCATCATCATCATCGTCATCATCATCGTCATCATCATCATCATCATCATCATCATCATCATCATAATCATCATCATCATCATCATCGTCGTCATCATCATCATCAGCAGCAGCAGCAGCATCATAATCAGCATCATCATTATTCACTGCGTGGAGCTCCCCATATGTGCATCTACTCGCATGGACCTGTCCGCCGTGAATGTCTAGGCGCAAGAGCTTTCGAATATTAACGGGCTTCAGTTGTGACGGTCTGGACATCAATCTAACTGCGAATGAATTGGAGTGTGAATGAGCCTCAGTAGTACGAGCGCGTCTCTGTGCATGAGCCTGGGGCCTCCTGGGGCCTCCTGAAACCTACTGGGGCTTCCTGGGGTCTCCAGGAGCCTCTTGGGACCTCCTGGGACCTCCTAGGAAGGTTTCGTGCCCCAGGGGAGGCGCAATCTATAGCAACAGACGTACATAAAACATTGCGGATTAGAGCCACAGGAGAAGGGCAATCTATAGGAACACGCGTAAAACACCAAGGACTCGTGCCCCAGGAGAGGCCCAATACATAGGAACATGAGTAAAACATTTAGGATTGTGTACACAGGAGAAGGACCATCTATAGAAACATACGTAGAACATCAAAGAATCGTGCTCCAGGTGAGGCCCAATCGATAGGAGCATACGTAAAACACATGGGATTGGAGCCACTCCTGTTGCCTTCTGAGGCCTCCTGCTCCTGGGGCCTCTCGGGGCCTCCTGTTGCCTTCCGAGGCCTCCTGGCGCTTCCTGTTGCCTCCTGGGGCCTCCTGTGGTTTCCTGAAGCCTTCTGGAGCTTCCTGGGGCCTCCTGGAGCCTCTTGGGACATCCTGTGGCCTCTTGAGTCTTTCTGTGGCCTCCTGATGCCTCCTGGGACCTCATGTGGTCTCCTGGGCCTCCTGGAGCCTGTTGGAGCCTCCTGTGGCATCCTGAGAAGAATCTGCGCCCACGAGCCTGGCCACCAAAACTAGCAAACCGATCGAGACATCCTCAAAATCTGGCCCACCTGGGGGGTGAAAATGAGCGCCTCGCTCGAGACATCCTCCAAATCTGCTCCGAAAGCGAAGGATGTTGGGCACAGAAACAGGCAAACCGCCTGAGACATCCCCACAAAATGGCCGCGAACGAGCCCGTGCAACCACCCCTGGCGGCTCCCCTTAGGGGTGCTGAAATGAGCGCCTCGCTCGAGACATCCTCCAAATCTGCTCCGAAAGCGAAGGATGTTGGGCACAGAAACAGGCAAACCGCCTGAGACATCCCCACAAAATGGCCGCGAACGAGCCCGTGCAACCACCCCTGGCGGCTCCCCTTAGGGGTGCTGAAATGAGCGCCTCGCTCGAGACATCCTCCAAATCTGCTCCGAAAGCGAAGGATGTTGGGCACAGAAACAGGCAAACCGCCTGAGACATCCCCACAAAATGGCCGCGAACGAGCCCGTGCAACCACCCCTGGCGGCTCCCCTTAGGGGTGCTGAAATGAGCGCCTCGCTCGAGACATCCTCCAAATCTGCTCCGAAAGCGAAGGATGTTGGGCACAGAAACAGGCAAACCGCCTGAGACATCCCCACAAAATGGCCGCGAACGAGCCCGTGCAACCACCCCTGGCGGCTCCCCTTAGGGGTGCTGAAATGAGCGCCTCGCTCGAGACATCCTCCAAATCTGCTCCGAAAGCGAAGGATGTTGGGCACAGAAACAGGCAAACCGCCTGAGACATCCCCACAAAATGGCCGCGAACGAGCCCGTGCAACCACCCCTGGCGGCTCCCCTTAGGGGTGCTGAGTATGAGTAAGTCTGTGTATGAGTAAGTCTGTGTATGTGTACGTCTGGGTATGACTAATACTGTGTATGAGTAAGTCTGTGTATGAGTAAGTCTGTATATGAGTATGTCTGAGTGTGAGTAAGTCTGAGTATGAGTAGGTCTGAGTATGAGTAAGTCTGAGTATGAGTAAGTCTGTGTATGAGCAAGTCTGAGTATGTCCGACAGGAGGGGAGGAGAAAAGAGGAGGAGGAAGGAGAAGGAGTAGGAGGCGTCCAAGTAATAACAAGAACCCCATCTTAGGATATGGGGAATCAGCAGCAGCAGCAGCATCGTCATCATAATAGTCGTCATCATCACCATCATCGTCATCGTTACCATCATCGTGATGTTCATGGTCGTTGTCGTCGTCGTGGTCGTCGTGGTCGTCGTTGTCACGATCGATGCGATTCTGGAAAGAGCACTTGGGCCCTCCAGCGAAGGCCAGCCTCCTCGCCAAACTCTGCTCGCTGGGCCCCTCTCGGGAGATGTGCCGGGAGGCTTTGCGCGCAGCGTACGCGCGCGGTAGCCCGAAAGCTCCCCACACCACGCACAAAACATCACGACCAGAGCCCTCGACCCTGCCTTCTGCAGGGGGTCTTCCGACCCGAGGCCCACGGGTCCCCGACCAGGGCGAGCAGAGGCCCGCCATGATCTCTCCCCACGCCGCCTGGACTTCGGAGGCCGCCCGCAGTAGATGGGGTCGGAGGATCGCGCCGCATCGCCGATACAAAGGCGATGCCTGGCCATGCATCGGCAATGCATCGGCAATGAATCGGCGATGCATCGGCGACGCACTGGCGATGCATCGTCGACGTCGGCGATGCATCGGCGCCGTCGACGTGAAGCAAATCGGGTTCCGCATCGCGCCGCATCGGCGATGCATCGACCATAGGGTGCGATCCTCCGACCCCATCTGCTCGAACCCCATCTAGGAAGCCTAGGCCCCACCAGTCCTCGTCCAGGTACCCCTCGCCCTCCTCGAGGGAGCCTGCCCTCGTCATCCTCGGGGCCGCCCGCGCACGCGCGACCAGGCAGGCGCACGCCAGGGCGACCACAACCAGCCCCCCCGCGGGCACCCACCGCGTCCAGGCCGCCAGGGCGCCCCCAGGCTCGGCGCCGGCATCGCCTGCCGCAGGAGGCAATCGTGGGCCGCCACCGTGCCCGGCCAGGGCCACCCTGGGCCCGTGGCGTGGTGCCTGCGCCCTCCTGGGCCGAGGCCACGAGGGTCGACACGGTGGACCGCGACGTCCTGCTTTTTTCCATGCGGAGTCCCCTGCAGAAGCTCCCCGGCGAGGGCCCCCCAGAGGCCGAAAACGATGAAAGCCCTTCGCCCGAATCTTCTGAAGAAGTTGGATGCCTGAGCCTGTAACTGCGGTGGGTACGTGATGAACCCACATCTTCACATGGGACCCAGTTATGTTTCGCGTGGGCTTACTGACGGATTCGGACCCCAACTGAACTGGGAAAAGAACTCTCCCCCCACGGCAGCCACTGCCGAGGACCTTGCGTGAGAGCACGAGGGGAAGGCGAGGAGGGGAAGGACGGGGAGGATAGGCTGCATGCCCAGCCCAAGGCTTACTGAGGGGGGGCAGCACGACAGACCTCCTGCGGTCACCTCAGGGATCCTGTGGGGCCCAGAACGGCCCTGGTCGGGCGTGGCGCTGGCGTGCCCACGCCCTCCGCGGATCACCCGCCAGCGCCGGGGGAGAGCTGGGGCGCTCTCCAGCGGCGCGGTCGGCGTCGCCCGCCTCGAAGCCGCCCACATCAGGCAGCGCGCGCGCGGCCGCGACGGCAAGGCCTTGCTGCAGACCTGCGGCGGGCGCCGCGGCCACCCTGGCGCGCGGGGGCAGCAAGTGGCGGCGCGCACCAAGGGGCTGGAGGGACGGGGCAAGGCTTCTTAGAAGCAAGGCTGCTTCTGACAAGGCGCTGGCCCCACGTCTGCGGATCAGGCCCGGCGCCTTCGAAGAAGCAAGGGTGCTTCTAGTAAGCCCTTTCCCCCTTTGCGCGTGGCTGAAGCAAGGAAGAGTTCTGAAGGAGGAGGAGGAAGAGGAGGAGTTCTGAAGGAAAGGGGCCCTGAGATTTTTCTCCGCCCTCGGACTCCCAGGCCCATATTCGGCGACTCCGAAGGGTGTGGTTTGCAAAGGGTGTGGTTTGCAACCGGCACCGTGGGGGGCACCCTGAAGGGCAAGCGGGGACCTCGATAAACTTTTCCACCGCGCAAACAATGGCCCCCAAACCCCAATGGCACCGATCGCAAACAACACCCCGCCGTAACGACACCATTTTTAGACGCCGCAAATTGCTGGGCCCCCGGAGGCGTCAGCAAAACGGCTCGGAATGAAGAGCCGACCCTGGGGAAAGCTCCGAGGCCAAGGACGCGCCTCCCTGCGGGGGCAGCACGCGGCCACAGCCACATCGAGGACACTTCACGCGCGCGGGGGGGGTCTTGCGCACGCGAAGAATCGTCGGAACACCAGATCCCCAGCTCGATGATTATTGGCCGCGGTCGGTGTGGCGTCCCGAGGCGGTCCAATCGGCCACAACCACAATCGAAAAGCTCATGTCGGAGCCGGTGGGTTCTCCCCCGACGGCCCAACGGGGCCCTTCCAGAGCATCCACTGAGTGTTCGTGGCCCGTTGCTGCCTGGACCTGACGCACTCGTCGCCCGCGTCGGGGCTCGGGGCCGTGGAACCGATGGTCCCAGCGATCCTGCGTCCAGGTTTTTTCAGGGCGCGGGCCCACGACCTCTCGACCGCTTCCCCGGGACCTGTTTTCATTCCGAACTGTTTTCTGACGGCCCCCAGGCCCGGCAGGGGCCCCCGAAGGCCGAAAACTATGAAAAAACGATTCGTTCTGAATTTTTCGAAACGCCCGACGTCCGGGCTGTACTCCAGATTTCGTAATAAAAGGAGGGGGTCTCATTTCGGGGGGGGGTCTCTTCCAAGCTATCTTGGAGGGCCTGGGGGGTCTGGGGACGATGCTTTGGAGCGCTCTCCCACGGGGGAGGTCTGAAATGGCTTGTCTTGGAGGGTCCAGACCCCCTCCCTTTTATTACGAAATCTGGAGTACTCGCCGCCGTTTGCTGCGCCCAGACCTGACGCACTCGTCGCCCGCGTCGGGGCTCGGGACCGTGGAATCGATGCTCGGAGGAAGGCCGGGCCGAAGCAGCGGCGGCCCTCCCCGGGCGCCCCCGGCGCCCTTTCTCCAAGAAACCTCCCCTGGAAGCTCCGCGTGGCTCCGCGTCGCCACGGCTAATAAGCCCGCCTCGACAGGCGGGGTCGGGGCGTGATGTCGGCCTGTGAAGACTCAAAACACGGGGGGGGGGGGGGGGGGCGTGATTGATTTTCTAAAAACGGTTCCCCTTGCTCGAGCGAATCGCGGGGGGGGGCGCCCCGCCAAATGGAAACACACGGCGGCGTCGCCGGTGATTGGCGCCGACGCCCGGCCGCCAGCGAGACGGCGACAGGCGCAACGCAAGCGGCGCCGTTTCACCGGAGGGGGACAGCAACGCTTCCGCTATAGCAGGGCGTTTGGGGCCAAATGGCCACAGGCAGTAGAGAAGGACGAGGCGGAGGGAAGAGGCACCTCAGCTGGCGGGCGGTGCCGACAGGACTACAAACAAGAACAGGAAGAGGGGAGGATGAGCGACAAACGCAGGAGGAAAGGGCTCCTTCTGCTTCTCCGCCCTTCACCCCCCTCCAGCACAATACGTTCCACGGCGACGACGACGACGACGACGACGACGACAACGACGACGGAGACGGCAACGGCGACGGCGACGGCGGACGACGACGCAATGCGGATGCTCCATGGGGGGGGGTCTGCGCATGCCCGCTGTAATCGTCGTCGACGACGACGACAGCGACGACGACGCCGACGCCGACGACGACTGCGACGACGACGACGACACGATGATGACGACGACGACGACGCACTTCGGATGCCCCATGGGGTGGGGTTGCTGCGCAGGCTCGCCGTCGTCGACGACGACGACGACCGAAGACGACGACGACGCATAGCGGATGTCCCATGGGGGTGGGCGAGGGGGGTGCTGCGTAGGCCCGCTGTAGTTTAGTTGACGACGGCGACGACGACGACGAAGGACGACGACGACGACTGTGGCACGTCAGTGGTCAGCCTGAAAGAGGGTAAACTTCGCTTCGGATATGTGTATATATATATATACTAGAACCACGCGCGCGCTTCGCGCGCGCTTAGGTTCTAGCGCGGACTTCCCCGATTGTGAACGCGAGCTCGCACATAAGAGGGGCAGGCGGATCGGTCGGAGCATCATCGACAAGTCGCAGCAGCTTCAAGGATGGAGGGGCGGCTGTTTGTTTTCAAAACGTGACTATCGCCCCAGCGCCGCGTGCTTTCCGATGTCGGTGTTTGCAGCCGCTGGCAGGACCGAGGGCGGCTCCTCTTCAACACGTGGTAGGCGCCCTGGCGCCGCGCCCAGTCGTCTGAAAGGTTTGCCACCGTTAGGGGGATTCGTTTGGTTGACGTCCGAGGCATGGTGTGCTGGCAGGGTTTACGAGCGTCAGGGCGCAGCAATAAAGCGGATTCGCGGCGTTGAGGTTCCAGGAACGACCTTCCGGCGTGGTTTAGGAATGCCAGGGCGCAACCGTCATGTTGCTTCGCTGCGCTGAAGTTCCAGGAACGGCGTCTTGTCACGATTGAGGATTCTCAGGCAGTTGCCGTCAAATGGAGCACTTCCCGAAATGAACAAATAATTCCCGTAGGAGCCTACGAAGAAGAAGCTAGGCGGGAGCGTTCATTGCAACATGGTTGATGGCTCTTGGATGTACACTGGTCCTTGTCCTCCTCCTCCTCCTCCTCCTCCTCCTCCTCCTCCTCCTCCTGCTCCTCCTCCTTGCAGTCTCGGTAGCCGTTTTGGCACCGTTGTGGGGTCTCCTCGGGGCTGTTTCGTGGCCTCTTTAGGCCTCGTTTGGGCCTCCTGGGTGCCTCTTGAGGGCCTCCTGGGGCCTCTTGGGGGCTCCCTGGGGCCTCCTGGGGCACTCTTCAAGCCGAATGGTCGAATCTTGGAGTCGTGGTCCCCGTCTTGGGCGCATCTTGGGGCCGTCTTGGGGCTCTGTTGGGCTGTCTTGGGCGACTCTGGGGCCCTCTTGGGGCCCTCTTGGGCCGTCTTGGGGCGCTCCTGGGGGCCTACTGAGCCGTCTTGGAACGTCGGACAGCCGAAAAGGTTGGAAGGCCAAAATCGTTCGAAAACCTTGAAAAATTGACGATTTCGGCCTCTTGAAGCGCTCTGGAGATGCGTCTCGAAGCGTCGTGGAGTGCCTTGGGGGGCCTCTCGGGCCGTCTTGGGCCTATCTTGGGCGTCCTGGAGCGGTCTTTCGGCGACTCAGGGCCCGCTTGGGCTGTCTTGGGGCTCTCTTCGCCCGTCTTGAGCGCGTTTTGGGCCGTCTTGAGACCCTCCAGAGCCGTCTTGAGCCCCTCTTGGAGGCCTCTTGGGCTCTCTTGGGGCGTCCGCGGGGGGCCTTTGAGCCGTCGCGGAGCGTCGGACAGCTGAGAAGGCGGGAAAAGCAAAATGTATCCAAAACCTTCGTAAAATAAGCGATTTCGGCCTCGTGAAGCGCTTTGGAGAGGCGTCTGGCCTGGAAGCGTCGTGGAGTGCCTTGGGGAGCCTCTCGGGCCGTCTTGAGCCTATCTTGGGCGTCCTGGAGCGGTCTTTCGGCGACTCGGGGCCCGCTTGGGCCGTCTGGGGAGCCTCTGGATGCCCTCCTGGACTATTTTGGACCTCCCCGGCCGCCCCGTCCTCCCATGGGGGGGTTGGAGGCGGCGGCCTCCCAGGCCCAGGACGCGGAAACCCTGCAAAAACACATTGAGAATGAGCCCCCGTCCCGCCATGGGGGGTGGGGGCACCTGTCCTGGGGCCCCCGGCCTCGCCCCCAGAGCCGTCTTGAGCTCCTCTTGGAGGCCTCTTGGGCTCTCTTGGGGCGTCCGCGGGGGTCTTTGAGCCGTCGCGGAGCGTCGGAAAGCTGAGAAGGCGGGAAAAGCAAAATGTGTCCAAATCCTTCGTAAAATAAGCGCTTTCGGCCTCGTAAAGCGCTTTGAGAGGCGTCTGGAAGCGTCGTGGAGTGCCTTGGGGAGCCTCTCGGGCCGTCTTGAGCCTATCTTGGGCGTCCTGGAGCGGTCTTTCGGCGACTCGGGGCCCGCTTGGGCCGTCTGGGGAGCCTCTGGATGCCCTCCTGGACTATTTTGGACCTCCCCGGCCGCCCCGTCCTCCCATGGAGGGTTGGAGGCGGCGGCCTCCCAGGCCCAGGACGCGGAAATCGTGTAAAAACATAGGGAAAATGAGCCCCCGTCCCCCCATGGGGGGTGGAGGCACCTGTCATGGGGCCCCCGGCCTCGCCCCGAGGGGTATATATATATATATATATATATATGATCCTGACACAACGTCGCGACGCAAGCGGCGCCACTTCAGCGGAGGGGGACAGCAGCGCCTCCGCTGCAGTGGGGCGCTTGGGCCAAGCGAGCGTGATTAAACGAAACTGTTTCGCGCCCCGCGGGGTCTATTCATCAGCCCAGGAGGGGGGGGAATCATGTAATAATCACAAGCGGACATCAGGGAGCCACACGTGAACCCTCACCTATCCCTGCAGGCCACATCTCTGAAAAGTGGCTGGGGTTCAGAGCCTGAGGGATGTCCCCTGAGATCCTTGAGTTGCAAGTTTTTGGAGCTGGGAGTTTTCGGCTCTTCTCGGGCCCGGGGGCCCTCGCAGATCGCGTCAGCTCGAGCAGTGGCGCAGAAAGATGGGGTCCAGGGCTCCGGGCGTGACTTTCAACGATGCTGCAACGTTTTCGCCACGTCGGAGCTAGGAGGAGGTCTGCAGCCCAGGAAGCCCCAGCGGGGGTGTCCCACACCCCAGCGTCGACCGAACGTTTCGGGGAAGCACTGACCCGGTTCAATGCAGACCCGGGTCAGTCGGGCCTTGCGGGGCCCTGCAGGATCCTACAGGATTATGCGCCCAAACCCGGGTCAGTGCGCCCCTGGCCCTGCAGGATCCTGCAAGATCCGGCGCTCTGGCTGACCCCCGTTTGCATTGACCCCCGTCTCTGACTACCTACCAGACAAATCCCAACCCAAAGACCCGAATCCCACCAGCCCTTTGGGCGTGAGTGGTTTAGAGAGCCCGCTCTGTCCTCACCCCCCCTTCTTTCCCCTTCGGGGAGGGGTTTACCCCTCCCCCTACCCCCTCCCCCTGGACCTGGAGAGGGAGTTCCGCGGGTCGTCAGGGGGGTCTTTTTCGACGTCTGGGAGGGCCCAAAAACGACGACCCTCACGAGGATTCTGGCCCCGAGGGGGGGGGGGAGTTTGGTGCCTCAGCTCGTCTTTGAAGCCAAAATCATTGATTTTACAACGGTTGTGGCCCCATTTTGGCCTCCTGAGGGGGCCGCGCTAATCTTCCTTCATAGCAAAATCATTGTTTTTACGAAGGTTTTGGGCTCATTTTGTCCTTCTCAGGGGGCAGCTCTCATTTGCGCTTCAAAGGAGGTCGCAAGAGGCCCCAAGATGGCCCCAAGAGGCCCCCAGGAGGCTCCCAAGAGGCCTCCAAGAGGCCCCCCAGAGGCCCCCAAGCGGCCCCAAGAGGCCCCCAAGAGGCCCCCAAGAGGCCCCCAAGAGGCCCCAAGAGGCCCCAAGAGGCCCCCAAGAGGCCCCCAAGAGGCCCCCAAGAGGCCCCCAAGAGGCCCCACGAGGAGCCCGAACGACTCACACCAGGACGAGGGGCCCGAACGACTCACACCACGAAGAGCCCGAACGACTCACACCACAAGGAGAGGCCCGAACGACTCACACCAGGACGAGGCGCCCGAACGACTCACACCACGAGGAGCCCGAACGACTCACACACGAGGAGCACTTTCTCTCCCTCCTCCTCCGCTTCGTCCTTCTCCCGCTCCCCCCACAAGGAGGATGTACAAGGAGGCGGAAGGAAGGAGGAACAGGGGAGATATGCGGGGCCAAGCGGACACACGCCTGAAAAACACGACTGTCGGCATGCTTCGCAAGAGTTGCTGCTGTGAGATGGGCTGGTGGGGATACGCGAAGCGTAAAGAATTTCGGGTTGGGGGGGGGTAAGGGTTCCACATGTGTTTTTGTTCGATATTCCCCGACCCCCCCCCCACTAGAAATCGAGGGTCAATCTGAGCCTTCGGGTTGGGCTGGGGTGGTTTGGTGGGTGGTGAGTCTCCCGAACCCAGAAGCTGCCGCAGGAGATGGGCCCCGGGAGGGCACCATGGAGCGGCTTCGGAGCGGAGAGCTGCGCCCCGCGAGAGGGCCGGCGCGGCCTCCGCTGGCCCTCCTCCGGGGGCTGGAGTGCCACCACGCCCTGCAGACCCGGCCGGCAGCCTCGAAGCCGAAGCCTCTGCAGTACGGCTGCGAGGCGCAGATGGCCCGGCATTCGCCGGCCGAGGCGGCCGAGAAGGTCCAGTAGTACCTGTTGAAGCGCTCGGAGCCCTCCATCCTGGGAGAGAGGTGGGGGGGGAACAGGAGGAGGAGGAGGAGGAGGAGGAGGAGGAGGAGGAGGAGAAGGAGGGGGAGGATAGCCCGAATGTCCGAGCAACGGAAAAGGAGGAGGAGGAGGAGGAGGAGGTGGAGGAGGAGGAGGAGGTGGAGGAGGAGGTGGAGGAGGAGGAGGAGGTGGAGGGAGTGAGGTGAAGGGTCGGACACGACACGCCCCATGGTGAGGCTGGTGCCCGGCACGCGCCTCACGGCGGCGTTCCCGGGGGGGTGCGGAGGCGGGGGAATCCGAGGGCTCAGGGCTCCCCCCCCAGGGCTCCCAAGACCCAGGTCTCCGAGGATGCGCTGTCGTGGCATCTCCGAGGATGCGCTGTCTTATCGCCGATCCAGCGGCGATGTACAGTAAACTCGTAATTATCATGAGGATGCGCGGTAGGGCCTTGGAGGCCCGTGTGAACGTTTTTGTCGAACGAGGCTGGCCAGCGAAGGTCGCTGAGGATGGGCCGAGGGGGCAAGGAGGCAAAGGGTACCCTCTGAAGGTTGCCCGTCCTTACTATGCGGGTTGACTGCAATGTGAACGAGTCGCTCCGTGTTCGGCCTCCGGGGGGGGAGGGCGCTTTAGGTCGCTGGGGTTTTCAATAACCCAGGGGTGAAAAATCGGCCCCAGGGATCGGGAGCTCCAGGGTCGGACAACAAGAACTAGTTGTTCAGGGGGGGGGGCGTCGCTGCAGACTGCCAGGCCGTGCAGTCGAGCACGCGCGCGCAGAGCCCCCCCAACACCGATGCGCCCCCGGAATGGCGCAAAAGCAAGGCCCGTCTGCATCGCGATGCCGCCGAGTCGCGTCGCCAGCGACAGTGACAGGCAGGAGCAGTGAGCCTCCAGAGCCGCTCCGACCCCCAGCTCATGCCGTGCACAGTAGAGTCGGGTCGGGCGAAAGGGGGGATAGCAAAGGCGGGGTTTGAGAATCAGCTCACGTAGCTGATTTTCCTGGCACCCCCCGGCGCCAGAGGCGGCTATGTATCGAGGAATGGGCCCCTCGGTGGGGCCAGAACCAGCTGCATGCAGCAAATTTCGTACCCCCCCCTTTCCCAATCTCCCCCTGGCCCGAAAGAGGCGCCCAACGATGGGGGCGGCGCGGCAGGAGGGCCGCAAGCGGAAGGCGAGAGCGCGGAAAAGATCCCGCTGCGCCCCGTGGGCGGCCCGCGCGCCGCTCGAAGGAGGGGGCAGCAGGCGCCCGGCCCACGGGCCAGGCCCCCGACGGAGGGGCCACTGGCGCACCGCGGCTCTCCGCCCCCCTCGGCACCTGCAGGCCCTGCGAGAGCGGGGGGAGGAGGAGGGCGGAGGACGAGGAGGCCGAGGAGGACTAGGAGGACGAGGAGGACGAGGAGGCCGAGGAGGCGGACGAGGAGGAGGAGGAGGAGCACGACGGGGAGGAGGAGCACGCCGGGGAGGAGGAGCAGAGGGGGAAGGGGGAGGGGGAGGACGGAGGAGTAGGGGCGGAATCTGCACGCCGCTGCACGCTGCAGCCCTGTTCTGGTAGGACTTTTGGCGGTGTCTCTCCGCGTCGTGCCGGGTACCCCGGGCGCGCGGCGCGGAAGTCCGGGGCGCCTCGTCTGGCGCGTGCCTGCAGGGCCTTCTTCTGCTCCTAGTCGTGGTGCCAGACTGCCGCGTGGTGCTGCGTCTTGGTCCCAGCCTGCAGAGCGGCAGTGCGGTGCTGTGCCCCCCTCCCGCGAACGCCAAGCCCACTGGCGCTGGCGTGCGCTCGCGAATGCGGTCAAAGTGAGTGAGGAGCGCGTCGTAGGTGATCAGCTCAGGGTCGAACTCTATGCGGATTGCTTCGGAGCACCCTGCCCGTCCCCAAGTTGCACGCTCTCGTGCGTGGGCTTCCTCAGCGTGTTACCGCCTGTGTAGCCGACCGTGGTGCGAAGGACCCCACTCACCCCGTCGAACAGCTTCTGTGACTCCAGAAGCAGCCCGTCGAGGACGTCGCGACCCGGCGTGGCCGCCGTGCAGCAGCGCGGCATCCGCGATGGACTGCACCTCGGCGGGCTGCCTCGCCAAGAGCTCGAAGGCGCCGTCGTCGACGGGGCAGCGTCCGCGGAAGGGTAGCCAGCCGATCCTCGCCCCCGGCGGGCGCGGCGGGCACCTCCCCGCGGTGCTGCGGCCGGCGCAGGGCGCGCCCGAGCTGCGCGGCGCCCGAGCGCGTGGCCTCCCCCATCGAGCCGCCGCAGCGCCAAAGGCGGCGGCGAGCCGCGCCCGCTCCGCCTCCTCTCCGGCGACCCGTCCTTCGGGCGGGGTCGGGGCTGCTTGCCAGGGGGCCACGTGCGAGCACTACCCGCACCCCGCACGAGTTCTGAGGGGTAGGGTTCGCATGTGGCCCCCTAACCTTGCCGCAACCTGTAGCTGCAGTCGAGACGCCACGACTGTCTGTGTCTGGCCCAGAAGATGTGCTGGACGCCGCTCTGGCGCTCCGCGATGTTGGGGCCAGCGCGGCGCTCGCCCGAGCTTGCGGGCGCGAGGGCGCGGTCCTCCTCCTCAAGCCGCCGCAGCGCCAAAGGCGGCGAGCCGCGCCCGCTCCACCTCCTCCGGCGACCTGTCCTTCGGGCGGAACTGTGAACTCTACCTGCAACCTCGGTCTTGGCCGCTCTTTCTCGCGTGTGGAACACGCCACGCCTGGCACTGTTTGTTCCAGGAAGACGTGCTGGACGCCGCTCTGGCCTTCTGCACGGTCGCAGCCGCCAGCGCGGAGACGCCCGAGCGCGCGGCCTCCCCCTCGAGCCGCCGCCGCTCGTCGACGGCGGCGAGCCGCGCCCGCGCCACCTCCTCTGGCGACCCGTCCTTCGGGCGGAGCGTAGGCTGCTTCATGGTGCCTTTGTCTGCGCCGTTCCGTCTTCGGCGCTGAACACGCCACGCCTGATGTGTTCTGTCCCAAGCCACGCACTTGACACCGCTCTGGCGCTCCGCGCTGCCGCTGCCGTCAGAGCGGGCCCGCCCGAGCTGGTCCTCCCTCCCGTGCCGCCGCAACGCCTCGACGGCCTCCAGCCGTGCCCGCTCCACCTCCTCTGGCGACCCGTCCTTCGGGCGGAACTGGCGCTGCATCACGGTGCCTTTGCCCGGGCCGTTCTTTCCCCTGCACTGAACACGCCACGCCTGGCAAGCTTAGACCCAGTAAACATACTGGACGCCGCTCTAACGCTCCGCGCTGCCCGCGCCGACGTGTCTGGCCGCGGCTGGAGCACGCACCCCGCGGCCGGGGCTGGCGGCCGCAGCACGCAGGCGCGCGTCGCGCAGCGTGGCGGGCCCCGCGGCCGGCCCGACGAAGGTTTCCAGCAAGCGCCCCGCGGCCGCCGCCAGGGCTGCGCCGACCGCTGCCGCGACCGCGCCGCGGCGGCCGCGCCGGCGGCAGGGCATGGCGGGCCACACGGAGCGCAGCGGCGGGCCTGCCCGGCGAGCGAGCGGCGCGGGTCGGATGCTGGACCCGCCCCAGGGTGCGTGCCCGAGCCTCTCTAACTGCTGGAGCCGAAATCGCTACGGCCCGAGGCCGTAGCCGTTCTGCCGGGCAACAAGAAGAAACGCTGAGTCGTCCGAAGCCTGGCCACCCAATCAGACCCGATAGGACGCCCCACACTGGCCCTCGCCGAGCCCCTCCTGGCACCACGATCGGTGCACACGCCCTCCTGGCCGAGCCAGGAAGGCAGATGCGCCGAGCCTGAGCCCAGGACTGGTCTGGGGCAGGTGTGCCGCACCACCCCCCTCCTCGAACTCAAGCGCAACTATGTTCGATGCTGGTCGGCGCGCGCGAGGAGGCGGCCGCCGGGGTCCGATTGTTGTGCTTGCCGCCGCCAACCTCGGCGCGAGAATGCTGCGATTCGGGCGGGGCCCACTGGGGCGCCGCAGTGTCGCGGGAAGCACTCGTGCTCGATCTCTCGAGGGGGGGGGGGGGGGGCGCAGGCGCTCCCGGAGCCGCTGCCCGCCCCCCGCAGCCGAAAAGGCTCCGAGGGCCCGCGCCCCCGACGCACGCACGCAAGAAGCCGCACCGATGTGGACGCCCGAAAGGGGGTACGGAAAAAAGGGTCGGGGATGGACAATTCACCAATCGACGTGTCACTGTTGGGGGGTCTGTCCGCCCCCGAAATGGGTACAATGCCCAGCAGCAAGTGTTGTCCCAAACCAGCAGCGGCCGCTGTTGGGCAGGCGGCCTCCTGTCTCGAACGGACACAGGCCGCGGCGGCGCGGACAGCGAGTCCTGTTCAAAGTGGGCAGGAACTGCTGTTGGGCATTGTACCCGTTCTTTCCGTGCCCATCTCGGGCGTCCAGAACCTAGACGGTGCATCGGCAGAACAGATTGTCGTATGCTAGGCCAGGGAGAACTCGTGCAGAAGACATGTCCGGGCCGAGTGCGAGCGCGCCGGAACGCAGCCAGTGCATATTGCAGCAGTGAGCGGCGGTGGGGGTTGCACCAGCACTGCGTCCTGGTAAGGAGGAGGAGGAGGAGGAGGAGGAGGAGGAGGAAGGAGGAGGGAAGGGGGGAAAGGGGAGAGGCGAGGGCAACAGCACAGTACTTTGCAAAACTGCGCGGCTTCTCGCCTCCGACGACAGGAACTTGTTTCACAGCGAGGGCCGCGGAGCCCCCGACTCCGCCACGCCGGCAGACGTCATTTCCTGACGGCAGCTGGCTCCAATACGTTGCAGAGACGCAGTCAGCAAAAGCCTCGCCACACAGCGGAGGCGCATGCCTTCAGGGTGCCCTGCTTGCAGCCTGCTTGCCTCCAGGGTGCCCTGGGTTCTTAGGTTCCGATAGTTTTGCGATGGAAAGCGCGACGTTCCCACACCAAAAATCGATGGACGTCC